GCTGGGAGCGGTCCCCAGCAGCGGCTCCATTGGGACGCAGGGACGGGAAGCAGCAGGTCGGGGTCTCTGCCCTTCGCCTCTGCCTGCAGCGGAAGCGCAGCCTCGGGCAGGGGGTCCCCTGGGGCCTGGGAGTGGGGGGAGCCAGCGGGGGGACAGGGAGTGACCCTGCTGCAAAGGGCTGCGGTGGCTTTTGCAAAGCAGCGAGCTGAAAGCACTCAGGCTTTGAGCTGCGGAGGGGATGGGGAGCCCAGGGCCACCCCTGTCCTGCCCAGAGTGGCTGGAGGGGCTGGGGCCGCTGGCTGAGCTGGTTTCTCTCGGCAGGCAGGGGACAGCCCCGGGCTGGTGGGCAGCATGGCTCACAACCTGCAAACCGCCTGTGCCTCCGGCATCTCCAGCGTGAAGAAGGTCCCGGCCGTGGCCTGGGACGCGGCGGAGGGGTTGATCCTCTTCACGCCCCGCAGGCTGTCCAAGGCCATGGAGACGGTGGATGCTCTCGGGGGGACCCTCGTCAGTGCCCCCAAGCATCTGCTGGGCACCCTGTACAGCTACGTGCCGGTGAGTTTGTCCCCATCCAGGTCCCGTCCCTCTCCAGCAAACCCCATTTTGTCCAACCTCCTCCCATGAGCACCCCATAGTGCCGGGCGGTGCCAGGAGGTACCAGAGCGGGGAGATGGGGTGCTGTTAGGACACCTCAGTCCCACCATCCTTCTGAGCATCCCCCAAGCCGTGACAGCGAGTCTCCCCCCATAGACCTGGCAAGTCAGCCGGTGGTGGCGGCACCTTCACGTGGTTCATGGTCAAGCCAGGGTGTGACCACAAATTCCTGGGAAGGTGAAAGTTTGGGCTGAGACTGTGTCCCCTCTCCTTCCCCCCATCCCTCTGCTCCCCCAGGGCCATTTCTCCACTGCAGCTGCTCGGGGGCTGCAGCTGCCCACTCCCCTCCGCTGGGGACCCCTCTGGGGGCAAACACTGGCCTGTCCTGAGGATCCCCCAGGTTTTGGGGGGTGGCGGGGGGGGACCTATGTAGCAGAGGGAGAGCAGAGCTGACAGGCGGGTGCGGCCCAACCGGGCACTCACCCCACCTCTCAGCTCCGCAGGCAGTCGGTGAAGCAAGAGGAGGCGGCCGGGGGCAGCAAGACCAGCCCGGAGACAGAGCAGAAGGAGGAGGACGCCAAGCCTGCCGCCCCCTCCGCAGAGGAGAAATCCCAACTGAGGGGCGACTGGCGGCTGTACCGCGGCCATCACCCCCTCTCCTTCCTGGGGCTTGAGGACCCCCTCTTCCTGCGGCACAACCTCTACCGCAGCCCTGCCTTCGAGCCCGAGTGCCCCCTCCCGCGGAAATCCGCCTTTGCCCCCTACAACAGGCGGGTGAGCGAGGGCTCCTACCGCTTCAGCCCCGAGGCCATGTACAGCCGGGCTTACTACGCCAACGTCTACAGCCCTACCTTCAAGAAGGACTGAGCCGGTGGGGAGGACGAGCACATCCCGGCCCCCCTCTAATCCCCCCCCAAGCACGCTTTGCCCAGGCCCCTGCCAGCCGCCCGCACGCACCCCTGTACCGGGACAGGAGCTCAAAGTGGTAGACATGCCATGGGCTGTCTTCTCCTTCTGGAGCACATCAGGGCCAGGATGGGGGAATAAAGGCAGCCAAAAGCTCTGTTGGTGGAAGGAGAAGGTAGGGGGAGGTGGGACCAGAGTGGACCAGAGAGGCGAAGGAAATGCCAAGAGTGGTGAGACCAGAAAAGAGAAAAAGGGACCGTCCAGGCCTGGCACTGGGCCACCCCGGTCCCTGTTGAGCAGATAGCGTGGACTTAGATGGGCTGTACGTTGAGAACAGCGCTGAGACAGAGCAAGGAGGACAGCATAGCCATCGAACGTCACCATAGCAAGCCTGGTTCCCCATCCTTCCTTGCTCTGTCCCACCTCGCAGGGCCCGTCCCTGGTCACAGATTGCTCCTCCATGGACGAGCTGAAGGTCCCCACCAACCAGCAGGACTCATGAGTCGGAAAGCCCTGGGCACCCACCCCCAGCTGGTGGTGGGACGGATGGTGGGGTCAGGAAGACGACCGGTGAGAACAGGTGGAGCTCCTGGAGCCCCTCTCTCCCACAGGACTGCCTGGCTTCCCGCAACACCTTGTTGTATCCGCTGCAATAATAAACCTTCCCGAACTGCCGCTGGCCCCATCTGCCTGGCTGCTTTATGAGAGCGAGCCACCAAAATGAGGGAGCAGAGTGGGGCGAGACATCTCACCCAGGGCCGAGGGAGCAGGTATGGGAAACTCATCCTCGGGTTGCTGCCGTAGGGATGGTGGGGGCTCGTGCCCAGCACAGTACGTGTCTCTTCCCATGCCCCGAGTACAAATTCACAGCCGCGAGGAGCCGGGGGCTTCCTGCCAAAGACAATTTATTGCATTTCCAGAACAGAGCAGAGAAATCACCGGCTGTACTGCACACGCAAACCCTCTTCCAACACGCTGCTTTCCCAGGCACACCAGGGGAAGGGTTTGGGGAGAGGCAGGGAAAAACCTCCCGGCAGCGGAAGGGTTCGGCGATGAGCCCGGCGACCCCTTTCCCCACCTCCCTCCCTCCCTGGAGACAGGCAGCCTTACGGAAGGAGCGGCTTGCGAAGGAGCACCGTACGATTCCCCATCCTGGGAACGAGCCACATGCCTGGTTTTTCCCAGGCACAGCCCGTACAGCACTTGCACAAGGAAAACTGCTACAGTCGCTGAAAGGCTGTGTGGGAGAGAGGACCACAAGCAGGACAGTTCAAAAGCAAGGCGGGTGGGATGGGGACCTCAGCGAGGTCCTCGGGGATCAACCGGTGCCGCAGGCTCTGGGACACTCAGACACGGTGAAGCGCACATGGGAACTGCCAGTGGCTCCCCGCTGGAGAAACCCCCACATTGCCAGCTCGTGGGTGCTCCAGGGTTACCAGAGAGGACCCTGATGAGCGTTAAATGGGAATAAGGATCCCACGGTAGAAGGGGCTGACACCGAGCTGGGTGGCCACGCAGAAGCAGCGTGTCCCCCCTGCTCACTGACAGCCTGGGCAGCTCCCACTGAAGGAGCTGGGGATGATGCTGCCTGGAGCGGCGGCAAGATCACCTGGTGGTTTCCAGCATTGGAGGATGGAAGGAGAAAGCAGGAGGCACCTAAAAATCCAGTACAGCAAAGAGCAGAGACTTTGCCCCACCACCTGTCCCACCATGGAGCCAAGAGCTCTACAGGAGGGAGCAGAGGAAGGCACTACCAGTGCTCAGCTGCACTGGCCATGTATGGCAGGAGACCCGGACCCTGAGGTTAGGAGGGCAGCAAGGAACCCACCATACTTATGGAAGTGCACACCATCTCCATGGGCACCCAGGGAGGAGGCTCAGCCCAGCTGGGCAGCGCGGAGAGAAGCAACACCCAGGCTCACCCTTCTCAGAGGGAATCCGTTCGCTTACGGGCAAACACAGCCGACATCGTCTTGACGATGCCACGGATCCCCGTACCCTTTTTCAGTGCCAGTTTGGTGTCAGGGATGCGTTTGGCTAGTCCATGGAAGACCATGAGGGCCCCATGATAAGCCTCAGCTGCAGAGACCTCGTAGAAACCACAGTCTAAAGAGAGGGCCAGGAGCCGACCCTCCTCGCTGGACACTACCCGTTGATGGTGTAGGTCACGTTTGTTGCCCACAATAACGATGGGCACCTTCTCCTGGCTCTGCCCCTCCTTGGCCGCCTTGATGAACCGGATTTTGAGGGGCAGGATGTTGAAGCTGGCGCGGTCGCAGATGCTGTAGACCAGGACAAAGCTGTCTGCCCACTGGATTCGCTTCTCCTCCGAGGAGCCCTCCTCTGTCTGCTCCTGGGGAAAGAGAAAAGGAAGGTTCCTTTACCCAGCTCCCTCCCTCCATGCCTGCCTGCTAGCACAGGGCACGGCGATCCTGAGCCCCTCGGGACGGGAGCGGCTAGCGAGCAGCAGCAGAAGGGCAGAGAGAAAGAGGAGTACCGAGGAAGGCAGAGCAGGACCTGGCAGACCTCACCAAGGGGACACGATTTGGGCTTCGGCATCACTGTCCTCACCTCATCACCCAGCTGGCAAGCACTGCAGGCTGTAGGTGATAACAGCGGGGAGGGACCTCAGAGCGGCACTTCCACTTTGCCAGCACAGTCCTGTGCTCAATCCAGGCTGATAACATTAGTGCTTCAGCCCCCAACGTCCTCAGTCAGAGGACCATGGGCTACGGTGACTATTGCTACCCTGCCAGCAATGCTGCTGCTCTGTGCTCTGCAGGCAAGAAGGGTTTAGTTGTCTACAAACCACCTGACACAAGAGTTTTGCCTATGCCTATGGTTCCCCCCTGTGTAACTTTTAGTAGAGGGTTTTTTGCTTCCCGGGGTGAAAACAGGCAATGGGAGAGGAGCCCTCTCACCTGGGAATTGGGGACATCCCAGATGTGGAAGAGAATCTCTCGGCCGTCCACGGTCAGGTTGTGGCTGTAGATGAACTCTGCCAAAAAAATGAGAACAAAAATGGCCATCTTCACAGACCCAAGAGATAGCTCCCTCAACCCAGGTCTTCTCCTGGGGACAAGCCTGTCACATCCACCCTGGGAGACCGTGCTCTACAAGGCAAGGTCCAGGGACTCTTTTCGTACAGCAACAACCACGTGGAGCATGGTGGTCTCCAGGGCTGTGGCCACCCCAGCCTGCCTCCACCCCAGCGTTCAGTCCAGGCACACTGGTGCCACCAGCTGCCACCCAGGACCTTTTGCACCCCAGAGAAGCAGTTCTGGAGTGAAGAGATGGGTCACTGAACAAATACAACCATCGAGCTCCCCCTGGAACAGGGGAAGGCTCTGGAGAAAGGCAGAAGAGGATGGGACGCAATGAAATCCCACGGGCAGAAGCAGGCTTGCCTCCTGACCCCAGTCCCTAACAGGAACCGGCCTGGCCCTGGCCTGGCACTCACCCATGTCTCCGTACTCCCCGATAAAGCGCCGGGTGAGGAAACGCACAGTCAGAGCTGCAGAGGGGAGAATAAGAATCATCAGAATAACCCTAAACCTGAAGGACTTTCCCTTTTTAAATCCAGAGCAGAGTCAGGCACCATCCCCCTGTAAACTCCCACTAGCAGGAACGACCTCCGGTTTTCCAGCCCTCGGCAGGTCTGCGAGCAGAGCAGAGGCACAGCACGGACCAGAGCATCAGCAAACCACAGCTCAGCGGAAAATACCTTGCCCCGTCGCTCGCCCGCTGCCTGCAAGGTTGTGCTCAGCTTCCCCACCTCGAATCACCACCACACCTGAAAGCTCAGCCTTGCTCTTGCTCCGCAGAGTTGGTCCCTGCAGTTTGTTCTCCAAACGCTGCTGCAGTTTTCAGCCTTTTTTTGGGGGGGAGAAACGGGTCTCCCTGCCTGGGAACCCCCTGCTCCCAGCTCACGGCCAGTTCTTACCTGATTTCCCCACGTTGTCCGCTCCCATAACGAGGACGTTCGCTTCCATCTTCAGGGCGGTGGGGCCGGGCACCTCCACGAGGGCAGGGTGGTCAGGGGTGAAGCTGGCACTCCGGCGCAGCGGGAGCCGGAGCCCCATGCCGAGCACGGCCGTGCCTCGCCGGTGGTCCCAGTGGCGTCTGCGACTCCTCTCCGCACAGCCGAGGAGCCAGCGCTTCCCATGGCACCCAGGGGACCCGCGAGGGCCATACCCCTCCCCGCAGCCGCAGGGGCGGTGCAGCGGGAGCTGCAGGCGGCCAGATGAAGAACTTTGCTATCGTTCAGATTGTCCCGAACATGCATCAGTGCCTGGAGCCGGCCCTGCCATCTCCCGGCGCGGCAGGCGGTTGGAAAGCACCAGCTGGCTGCACCAGCTGCTCCGCAAACTGCATCCCAGGAGGCTGCCCACGCCTGCACCTCGAGGACGTTGTCCCTTGGCAGGGCCACGTAGCCCGTTGTCCCTTCCCCACGGCAATCGTGGAGCTGCTGCCGAGGAGCGGTGGAGCGTCTCACGAGCGGTGGAGCATCTCGCGAGTGACGGAGCAACCCGCGAGCGATGCAGTGTTGTCTCACAAGCGGTGCAGCACCTCACAAGTGGCGGAGCGTTGTCCCACGAGCGATGGAGCGCGTCACGAGTGATGACGCCTTGCCTCGCAAGCGGTGGAGCATCTCACGAGGGACGGAGCGTCCTGTGAATGACGGAGCACCCCACGAGTGATGATGGAGCGTCTCGGGAGCACCCCACCCCTTGCCCCCCACCTGCCG